GATATAAGGAAAAGATCAATCATGCATATTATTACTATCATGCCATTTGAGTGATTGATGGCTATGTTGAGAATATGATTATAATTATAGAAATGAGAACATGCAGTAATTATGCCAATAATGTATATGTGGCTATTTGTGCAAATTTTATACTTGACTTTATTCTTGAAATTATTCACATGAGTTAAACGTTAATGTGATTAACATGTTATTAATGTGATTGTTTGAATGGTCACTTTGATAAATTTATTGGCCACTTGCATTCATGATTAATTATCATGCATTTGTATAACTTAGATATACCTTATTATTGAGTGGTTGTACTCACCCCTCTCTTTTAATATATTACAGGAGCTAGCTCATCTCAGAAGAACAGAGGAAAGGAGCATTAGGCCAAGTGATAATAATCACTTCTGTAGGCCTCTCTCCTTTTATTTGATATATGTATTTAGTTTATGATATTACCAACTAGGATAATAAATTCTTAATCCACTTGCATTATGGATTTTGTGTTGGGGGAAATGTATTTTGAGCCTTGGGGAATGTGGTTTCATGCTTGTGCTATAATTACGGGCCAAAATATTTGTGCAAGTAAAAATAGTTATTATCATGCTTCCGTATAGGTTTAATTGAATGATATGAGTTCTTAAAATATTTTAAAGACTTGGGATCCCTTTATATTAAATAGTTTAAAAAAATACATATTAAGAATTCATTTGGGTTAATCTCGTATTGATAATCCGTTTGGGTTAGTCCTTGATTAACCATGGTTAGTATGATGATTAGTCCTAATTTAGGACGCCCTTTACACTATCCAAACGAACTAATAAAGTGCCCCGTCTCCAAGTAAAGTTGGGTCTATTAAAACCCAAGTCAATGAGTCCATTACTGTTTAAAAAAGATCAAAAAAGTTTGCAGCCATGGTTGATACAACCAGTACCCCCTTGATATTCCTCATTGGTAAGAGTAGCATTGAAGTCACCTGCAAGGAGCCAAGGTTGAGTAGAAGGCGGCTTCAATCCATCCAAGTCACTCTAGAGAAATTTTTAGAGATGGGCTGCCATAAATGGCAGTGAAGTAGAATCTCCTTGCATCAGGTAAGAGAGCGACTTCCATATGAATGAATTGAACATGGTTTGAGATGATTTGGATCTCTACTTTGTCAGACTATAAAATCCATATACCCCCGGAAAAGCTTGAAGCTTCAACCCTGTGAGAATTGTGAAAACCAATTCTTTCGATAACTTTATTAGCCTTGAGATCAGAGATGCATAGTTCTACAAGGACAATGATATCAGGTTTATAGTTAGATATAAGAGATCTCATAATAGAGGAAAACCTTTTATCAAAGGCTCCTTGACAGTTCCAAGTAAAAATAGACATAATAAAAAGAAGAAGAGAGAGTTTATTGCTCAGAGGTTGAGTTAAAAGCAACTCCCTCAGCAAGCATAGCAATGGCATCATCGTTGAACTCTTTGGTGTGGTCATCTTGGATTCCACATGCTATCTCTTTTAGTACTCTCACAGATGGCCCTGGGCCTGAATCATTAGGTTTGACTTTAGGGTTGGAAATTTTCACCCCTGAAGACAATTTGAAACCTCTCTTGGATGTCTCTAGATCTGGGGGTTTGGTTGGATATCTTTTTGCTGTATAGAGACGGATGGATAATAATATCGGATGGGTGGGTTTATAATAAGTGAAGACCCAAAGTCGTGGGTTTGCTTAATAGGATTCTTGCATCTTGAATAATGACGGCCTGATTATGGTTTCGGTCTAAAGTCATTTGGGCTTGATAGGCCTGGTAGCTAGGGGTATTAAAGAGACAATCCTTGCTTGGCGCCTCTTGCATGATTTCCTTTGCTTTATGTGTTCTTTTGATGTCGTACCTCTTTCCCTATGTGTTTCATAATATTGGCAGTACCATTAGTGGTTGCCTTGGCATTTCTGATAGTGTCATATACTGCTTGTTACTGTTGCTCATGCAGGTCTTCTACGTCCTCGCGTACTGCAAATCATGAGGTTGATGCAATACTCTTATTGACATGAGTGACCTCCTTTCTACTTCCTTTCACATATTTATGTCTGTACTAGGTGGTGGGTGCATCCATGATCCGTACTTTGCTTGTGCACGCGTGTTAGGTCTGTTGGGTAGAGTGACCTCCAGGTGAGGTGTTGATTTGCATCGGTCACCATGAACACCATTTTTTCAAGGCAACGATCTTCTAAATGTCCATATCAGCCGCAATGGAAACAAATTATAGGGAGGTTTTCATATTCCACGTAAATGGTTTCACCATCAACCTGAACCTTGGAAGTAAGAGGCTCAGAGAGATCAATGATGACAGCTAACCAGGCAAACTTGCCTCTTTTGCCTGAATCTATGTTGTAGTCAACTCTTATAACATTGCCAAAATGCTTTCGATAAAGCGAATAATACTTTGTGATAATAATGAGCCGATAATCCAGGGAATCGCACCCATCCCACCATATGGTTGATGACGTGGTCTTGTGGTTTAAAAGAAGGTGTCTAAGGCTGTATCATCAGGTGACGACCAAAAATGACCCAAGGGCCATAAGTTAGCACTCTCTAAAAATCTTCCTCTTCTTTGAACTTAACAATAAAGTATTCTTTATTAAGGTCAGTGAGCTGAAATTGGCCAATAGTTCGCTAGATAAGTTCAAGTTGTGTCTTGAGTTGCTTGTAGCTTATAGTTCACCCTAGAAGTTTCACAACAACAGCGTAGCCCATTCTTTTGTTCAAGACGTTCAGTACTAGAGTAAAGAAGTTGATTGTTAGGATGCCATCATTAATACTGATGATAACATCTCCTTTACTAAGTTTGATATCGCCTTCTTCTTCTGCGTGGTTACTATCATTGTGAGTAGCTTATCCTTAAAGGATGGGGGCTTGGGTTTCGGCTGGACCTCATCAGTGGGCATAGGTTGGATCTCGTCAATGAACATTGCCACATCTGTTTCTTCTTACGTTTCAGGGACCATATCAGGAGTAGCATAAATGTGAGGTTCCTCCTCAAAAGACGGGGCTTGGTAATCGGCATCCATGGCTTCATCATCAACTTCTGGTTCCTCACGTAGCTTTACCTTCTTGGTAGACCGATCAAAATCTGGTGGTGGAGGCGGTTCTCCTTTATGGCAGCTTTCAAAAGAAGCAGAGCGTTCCTCAATTTCCTGTTAATAAGTTTTTTGGCAATTTCAGCATATACATTAACGAAGCTCAAAGTAATTTACTTTTTTTTAATGAAAAATGACAAACACAAAATAATTTACTTTTACTGCATCAATTAATTATCAAGCAATGTTTCAAAGACCAAACTGGATGATAGAACGAAAATGTCAACGAGTCTCTTATAGTTTAACCAATTAAATTGATAGTCAAACTGTTGATATAATAATTAAATAAATAATAATATATATGCGCACACATACAACATTAAAAATATGGCGGGCTAACCAGAGCCAACTATTAGAATGAATAAAATAGTTGAACTAAACCACTTCTTCACCAAGTAATAGTTTGACCAACTTGGGTCAATTCAAGTCACAAAAGAACATTGCTATCAAGTGAAAAAATAATGTTCAAATTAACAATACTTCTTAAGTTTATCGGTAAAACTTAGTATAAATTATGATCATAAAGGGGGAAATTAAATCATTTAAAAAAGAAAGAAGACGATAAATCCATTAATTTTAAACTTTTAAATAATAAAAAATATTATCGGATGTTGACAAATTAAGTTTATTTTTTAACTAACAATGATTGTGATAAAAAAAATAACCATTTAAAACTAACAATATTAGGATTAAGGGATTATAAAAATAATTTATAAAATTAAAAGATCAAATTAAAATATTGTATGAAATTAGAGAATCGAAAGTATATTTTAGCCTATATTTTAATGCAAGAACTTAAAAATTTTGTTCGTACCTGAAAAGACCAAAAATATGTTTCCCAGCTTTTCATTATATATAAAGTGTGATATCATTCTTAATCATTCATTTAAATTTAATAAAGTCAATTTAACCTTTTTTTCAAAAAAAAAAAGAGTATGCCATGTTTAAGCCTCATTTTTGCTTTTTTCTTTTCTGAAGTTACTCAAAGTATTTCCACAACTAGTAACTGCGAGAGTAATCCTTCCTCCTAGATGAAGATTAGCAAAAAAATAAAGCTAACTATGATTATGAACCAAAAATTTGAATTCCAAATTCAGCCTAGAATCAGAAGCGGAAGTGTGGTTGATAGGGTTTTCCTTTTATTTATTTATTAAAGAAATAATTAGCTAAGTTATTTTATTTTTGTTGCAACTATTTTTTTAGCCAATGTTTTGTTGCGACTATTAAAATTTTTTTAAAAATAATTTGAACTTTCTCTTTCTCCCTGACATTTTGATTATTTTTAAATGTTTAAATAAATATAATAAAGTTTTTTCAATTTTTTAAGTAACATTTTCTTCATAAAGAAACCCAAAACGCCCTAAGCTCCAGGAACCAGATTGGACTCCCACATTGAAAAAGTTTTGCAACCTTTTGGGCCAACGATAACTTTTGTTTTGTATATTGAATGTTAGGCTGTATTATCCTAAAGACTTAGTAAAGAAGGTCTTGTGGTCAACCACTAATTCCTATTCCATCATACCATGAGGTTGCAGTTGCAAGCTTACTAGGTGTTTTTTTAAAAGAAACTACAACACATAATTTTTCAGGGGAAATCATTTTTCTATAATTTTTTAATTTCTACACACTTAAAATTTCGTGTTTCTTCTTAATGATATTTTAATTACAAAATTAGTCCATTAAAAATATTCTTCCTCATCCCAGTAATTAATAATTGTTTAACATTTTGTTATCATTGTCTGAAGTTCAATTAAAACAATGTTAAATTTTAAATTCTAAACTTAATGTATCTACAGTTGACTCAATGTGTTGGATTCACCATGACATCCCTCTAGCACTTGAATCAGATTGTTAGAAGAAGTTAACAGAATGCGAACTAACACCCATTGTTATTTATGGATATCATAGGAAGGATTTCTCGGCGTTATTATTTACAACAGACACAGCTTAAACCAACCTAAGAGGATTGGTAAGAACTGATTACATCAAAACAGTAATACGTCTCTGTGATGTGCTTACAAGCTGGTCCTTAAATGTGCGATTATGACTGCAAGATTCATAATACGTGTCAATCAAAGGCTAGCTTGCATGACTTGGTTGACCAAGAAAACAAAGAGACCCATAGAATCAAACCTTTTTTTTAGAGAAAAAGTCAAATTTATTCATTACTAAAAGTTTTACATATTTAAAAGTGCAACACAATAACGAATAGGTGCTTGTCTAAGTGGTTAGGGCTTAAACAGCTTAATTTGAGGTTTTGTATTTGAGTCCCAGGATATGTAGTCATGCAATTAAGCATACAAAATGTGTCTCACAGGTGATACCCGCAAAACCCCTTAGATTGGGCCACAACAAGCAAGGAACCATCAAACCACAAAGAAAGCAACAATAGATAGCCCATTAGCGTGAACTCTAGCAGAAGCAAAGTGTAACTGAGAGGATGAAGATCTATGAACATCAAAGGAGAGCCATCTTCGACAACCCGCCACCTACAAAGTCTGATAAGCACCATCTTCACAAGTTCATCCATACACGAGGGACCATAAAGGCACAGAAAGGAGAACCAATGGTTCTCAATAAAGTGGCAAGAAGCCAAGAATCAATTACACGAACCTAAAAGCCCAAAGACAAGGGAAGCTTCAGTAGCAAAAAAGCATCTAAAGAGTAGACCAAAACATAACACACCTGAAAGTATGAAATAAAAGATAACTAGAGAAAGGAAAACAGCAAAACAACTAAAGTGAGTAGCCCATTCCTTGCCTAAGGATTATCACAAAAATAACCTAGAACAAACTCAGATCAAGAGCCCTAACTAAGCAATAGAGTAGCCTAAGGTCAAGAAAGCATGTCATGGCACTACCCACTCTAAGATAGCCTACAGAAAGCTAGAAATTGTCAAACAACAAAAGTAAAGGGTAAAGAAAAGTAGAAAAACCTAAATCAAGATGCCTAGAACGAAACCCAAAAATCAGAGGAGAAATACAAGTAAAGATAATTAAGGGTCCAAAGGAAGGAAGAGAGACAAAGAAGTAGCAAAACAATGAAGAAAAAGAGAAAAGGTGGTGGAAACAAGTGAGGGAACAAAGATAATAGAGACGATAAAGGAAAGTAAAAATATGGTGGAAATGGAAATCAAAAGGCTACTAGAAAACAAAAGGCGGTAACAAAACTAGAGGCAGTGAAGGAACAAACAGCAAGGCAATGGATCAAAGCGAAAGGTAACGAAGAGAAGAGAGAGAGAGAGGCAGTGGTTTGAAAAAGTAAAACAAATCCAAAGCAGAGGAAGCTGAAGAAGGAAACAAAAACTAAAGCCAGAATGGAGACGACAAGAAAGCATAAGCAATGAGCTAACGGTGAGGAAGGAAGAAAGCAGAGGTGTCGGCTAGGGTAAGGAAAGAGAGACCTAGCTCTCTAAGGGAACTAGACAAAGCTCTCTCGACTCCAAACCTTTAGAATTTTGTGAATCAGACATTTATGCAGCTAGCATGTTACTAAAGTCTCAAACTACTCATTTTCTTGACCTTGTAGCATCTCAACGACTTGCCTCATGGTAGGCCTTGCATCTCTGTCTTCTTCTACACATTGTAAAGCCACTTCCATCAAAATTTCCATCTTTTTTGTCTCCAAATGACCACATATCATGGGGTGCATTATTTGCTGTAACCAAGAAGCTTTTGAGGATGCTTTGCTCTTTTTCTCCCTCACCCATCCCACCAACCCATGTTGCCTTCCTTCTCTTCCACTGCCATTCATGTCTTGGTCACCACCCTTCATCGGATTCTTCCCAGTCATAATCTCCAACACCACAATTCCATAGCTATAAACATCTACTTTAGAGGTAATAGGCATATTGAAAACCCACTCAGGAGCCATATAACCTCTTGTGCCCCTTATTCTTGAGAACTTTGAATTGTCAGAATCATCTCGCTTAAGTAGCTTGGATAGCCCAAAATCTGCTACCTTCGGTTGATAATCAGAATCTAAAAGTATGTTTTGAGGCTTTACATCACAGTGCAGAATCCACTCCAAGCATTCCTCATGCAAATACGCTAGACCTCTTGCTACACCTAGGGCAATGTGGAAACTTGTCCTAAAATCTAGAGCGTGAGATTTTGACTCTAGGTTTTTAGCTAAAGAACCATTCTCCATGAACTCATATACCAATAGCCTGTGCTTCCCCTCTGAGCAGTATCCCCACATTTTAATCAAGTTCATGTGATTAAGCATTCCAATGTTGCTTACTTCAGCATAAAATTCTTCTTCCCCTTGACTAGCTTCACTCAGTTTCTTGATTGCCACAACTCTATTATCTGACAATTCACCCCTGTATACAATCCCACCTGATCCTCTTCCAATCTCCTGACAAAAACCTTTGGTCGCCTTTTTAAGCTCAGTGTAACTATATTTCTTGAGCCCAGAGCCTATGGGAAGGTAGCTTTGTGCGCATTCATTGGCCTGTGATCTTCTTCGGTCTCTCATCAAGAAACACCACACGCAAAGGATACAAAGGATCTCAAACCCTCCTATATTATAAGCAAACCAAGCCATTAGCTTCAAATTTCTATTTTCATGGGCTTTTACATACCCTCTTTCAATTGTTATTGTTTTGTTTGAACACTCGGCACTTGATTCTTGAAGGGATTCTTGCATAGAGAATGGCTTGCCTCTAGGCAGTCTCAAGTAGACTCCCGCTTGGAAATCGGGTGAAACATACCCATTGATCAAGAAGGTCTTTGGGAAACAGTTAAAATAGCCGCGATCCTCACTAAATTTATACTGGAAGGCCTTGTAATCACAGGATTGCAAATTCAAGTTCATACAATCCTCCAAGGTGGAATTTGAGGTAAATTGACGATCAGAGCCGTAGAAATCAACATGGGGAAGACGTACAAAGTAAGACGCACTTGGGTTGCAAGAGAAATTATGTTTTGGTTCACACCCCAGGGACCAATCGCTAGAATTCCTGCGTCGAAAACCTGGAAGACAAGAGCATTTCCTTCCAGAACCACCAGGATCATAGCTGCACAGGCTATTGGCACCACAGATTCCATGAATTGAGCAGGGCGTTAATATGGCCTGCCAAGACACATACCATTCATGTCCTTCAGATTCCTGGCTATAAACTCGAACATTACCGTCGGAATCAATTTTCAACATTCTTTGGAGCACCGCGCCGTAGTCGGAAGTTATAAAACTGAACTGGTCCGATGAACTGAAATTTCCCAAGGAATCGAGCACCGCAATCCTGCTTCCGTTATAAGTGCTCCTTCCATTCTGCCAACTCACGCGCCCAGGATCCGGCCAATAAATACTGGAAATTTCAGGACCGTCGTAGAGAAGACGGAGGACGTTGTCGTTGTCGAAAAACACAGAATAAAAACCCGAGGAATGGTTTGTCTCACTCCTTGAGGAGACCAGCTTGGTGAATCTGGTGAGTTGTTGGTGAGGCAGAAGAGTATCGGCAGGGAAATCAAAGCTCTGCCATAAAACGACACCCTTGGTTTCTCGGAGAACAAGATTACCAGAGTCGTAGAGAAGCAACTCAACAGAGGTTGCCGATGAAGTGTCGGAGGCCCAAACGTCCAACTCGTCAGCATCTGTCAAGAGAAGATTTCCAGATTTGAGAAGAGAAAGTTTGGAGCGCTTTCCGTTAACTGGTTGGTCACGATTCGCCGTCCAAACGAGGGTGGGGTTGCGGGTGAACCACACGGCGAAGCAATAAGCATTAACACCAACGGATTGAAAGCCGGCGGAGAACACGCCACTGGGTGAAAGCAGAACATCTTGCGGGTTCTCTACAGAGAGGTATTCGCCCTTGTTCAGAGTTTGGATTGTTGAGGACGATAACTGAAAACACGAGACAGAAGATGGGATGAGTAATAAGAGGCACACAGTAGTGAACTCTTCCATGGTATAGTTTCAGAGGAATGGGCCGCTGGCCTATATGAACTCTGGGAAGAAGATGACAGCAGCATCCATCTCACCTGTTAAAAAATTCTATGACAAGAAAAAAATGGGACCTGGCAGCCTCTTGTACCTACAGATGTCAGACGGTGGAACATTCCCGACGCTTCAGGTAATTCTCGTGCTTGGAGAACATCTAAACCGTCAACTATTCCACACACTTGATTCCATAATTTTGTTGAACGCGACTCTGAATATAATTGGAGAGTCATTCTTTTTCTGACAGACCAGAATTCCTTGTCAACAGGGGTGCAAATTTCCACCGGACCCCCAAAAGAACAAACATATATATATATATATGCGCGCGCGCGCGCGCGCGTGCATGCAAAGGATACGCATACCCATGTTCTATCACAGAAAAAACAGTGGAAAATTAAAATAAAATAAATTTGTATGATTTAAATTTATATTTAATATATCACAACAAACAAAATAACGTTTTTTATTTTGATATTTCAAAGTATAGATGAAAGGAAAATTATCAATCAAAAAGCGTTGCGAGAAATTTATATCCGTTAAAGATCACTTATTGTCAAAACATGAATAGATATTTGTTAATTCGAGTTAATATTTTATTAACAAATATTTATTTAAATTTTAATAATAACTCATTTTAAATTAACAATAATCATTTAAATTTATTTTTCATTCAAATTTTGATAATAACTGATTCTTAATTAATATAAATTTTTTCTGGTGGTCTTTAATTGTTATTTTTCCTAGATAAAAAGTAAATAAATGATCAAGACATTATTTTATAAAAACAAAAATTTAGGTAAATTATATCCTCAAACTCATCTAAAGAACTTAAATCTCATAATTCAAAGAGCATTTAGATAAATATTTATAAATTATTTATCAACCAAGCCCTCATTGACGGTGAATTCGAGCTTATGTTCTCGTGAGATATAAATCGCATCTTTGTCAATTACACTAGTCTTTTGTTAGCAAAATGATCATACTACTAATACAGTTCAAATGATTAGAAGACTACTTCGTTTTAATTAACCTAAAGCAAGAAAAAAATTCTATAGCTGACAACTTTAATTTAAAGTTATTTATAATTTCCTATTTGAAGGATGTTTAATTTAAAAAAATAAATTAAATTTGATAATATCAGTGACAATCTTTTTGGCCAAAATATCAGTGACAAATTGACTTCAATGAAAAAAGAGTCAATGTCCTTAAGCAGGATTACAGTAAGAGAAAAACCCTCAATTTCGAACTTAATAATATATTTGAGTCTAGGTCAGTGAGTTTTTCATCAAGTATACTAATTTATCATCATACGTACGAAAATGCCATTAGAAGTCATGCTATTAATAAATGGTAGGTATCACTACTCATTCTCAAGTTTTATTATTCAAATGGTCATCGGCGTCATCACTAATATTTTGAAAGTAGATAAGTGGGATCAGTGCAAAAAAATTAATGTTCACATATAAGTTGAAAAACAAGCGAGCCCGATCTTTAAAAATTCAAACCCGTAAACTTAATTTTTTTAAAATATCTCATTTTTTAAAATTTGACTTTTATAAAAGACTTCAGGGTTAGGCCCGTAAGCCCTTATTATTATTATTATTATTTTATTATTATTAAAAATTTTTAAAAATTAAAATTTTTAATTATAATATTTCATATATTTTTTAAAAATAAAAATAATAATGTGAAAAAATTAAAAATAAATAATAAAAATTTTAATTTGAAAATATAAACATTTATTTTAAAGTTTAAATTCAATTTAAAAATTAAAAATATTTTATTTTTTAAAGGAAAGACAAAAACAAGTCTTAAAAGGGCCACCTGAGCTCCTTTTTTCATGATTTATTAGGATCGGGTTTAAAAGCCCAATTTTTTAAAAAATATTATTTTTTAAAACTTAAATTTTTATAAAAATAAGTTTAAACAGGCGATCTTGTACGCTCCACTCTTTTTTCTAACTCTACCCACATATCTTGTGCGTCAATGTTTCCAAGACCTACCAGAAAAAGAAAAAGAACCTTTTTAGTTGGAAAGTTAATGGAACGAATCTGGAGGTGGTGGAAAGATGCTTCCAAAATTGGAAAGAAAATGCTCCCTTCCCCAACTGGCAACACTGTAAGGACAAATGGCTCCACAACATTTTTAGATACTGGGATCGCCTCATCATAGTCTGTAGTTTACAGGCGTGAGCGGCTTCGGCGTGGTTCTCGAGACCCAATGTCCTAGGTTTTAAATCTGAAGGGGGTCCATTAAACCTCCTTTTTATCACAGAAAAGTTCTTAAATATCACTATCTCTAAAAGACACTCTCAATTTTAATTACAAGGCAAATTTAACTAACTTCATGGTTCTTAAGAGTAGTAGTTGATGCCTTAATCTTGTAGAAAAACATGACTTTCTGATTTCACACTTTCACTAAAATTATTAATCATAATTCATATAGAGCATTGTTCAGGAATTAAAAGTATGCCAACTCATTGCAATTTAGGAGGGGCGAGATTGGAAAAAATTTAACTAACACATCTTCATTCTATATTTTAGACCACATAAAACTTTAAAAATTTGCTTTATGATTAGAACTAGAGGGAGTACTTGGTATTTCTTCGGGTCTCCCCTACCGATATTCAAATGTATTATTGATTGACTGTGGTTCTATTAGTGGAAATTATTGACATAGTTAAATGCAAAATGCTACAGCAGGTTCAGCCGCATTCAAGTTACGCAAAACAGGAGACTAACGCCAATACAAATTTCAGAAATACAATGAATTTACAAAAATGAGGGTCTGTCATATACTCAATGTTCCTTCCGGAAATGTCACTCACCCAACTCAACATGGCTGACGCTGACAATGCGGTTCCCGATAATATATTATGCATTAATGAATAGTTTGGATTAATAATATCCACAACAAATATATGTCAATTCTGAATACCTTCTATGACAGCAGCAGCTCATCAGTATTATGTACAAACAGGTTCCTAGGCTATTCGTCTTTTTTGTTGGTGCTGTTCTCAATCTCTTCTGGGACATGATAAGTCGAGAGAAAAAACGAGTTCTGATTTTTCTGTAGAAACCTGCACCGCAACAGAGACCATAGTCAAGCACAAGGTGATAGCCGATCACATAAGTTCCACGCTTCCAAGTGAAAAATGTAAATGCTGAGGTCAGACCCACGTGGCCAACTAACTCTGCAATGATCACATCACAAGCTTCAGAAGCACACATCAGTTACTCAGTACCTGCGGCTTTTTAAATCGTGCCCAACCAACTCTGCAATGAACTTCCTCAGTTCCCCCCACCCCCTGGCCTCAATATTTCATTTTTCATGTCTTGTTCATCGTTTACTTCAATTTTGAATTTGAAAGCCAAATGTTAAAATGAAACTTCAATGGAAGGAGAAGAGTATATACTTGAGAAAATCAACCAATTTTGCCTGCAGCTGCATCATTGTCTCCATTTCAATATTAGCATGGAACAATAATTCGGGCAACTTAACTGCACATCCAGAAAAATTACATTATTTTCTTTCACACAACAGGAATATCACATTATCAAAGTTGAACAGGATAAAAAATAACACTTTAACCCATTAAAGTTTGGGGAAACCATGAGAATAAAAAGATAAATTCGATGCTAGTCTAGAGGCCATATCAATGAGCCCAAAACAGAGAACACCTAATAGATAATTTAAATGTACATGTGAGGCTGGGCCAAAAGATCAGCATTTTGATGATGTCAGTTCAGCAGAGAGCAAAACACCACACATCGCTCCATGTTTTAACTCTATGGGTAATGACAAATCACAAACTCACAATGTGGTTATAATAAAGCCCTGCCATATTTAACCAAAAAAGAAAAAAGCCCTTCCAATGCAAAGATAACACATTTTTAGCTCTAAAACATATAAACAAGCCCGTCCTCACTGTAAAAGAGCATACCAAAGAGACGTAACAAATGTTCTGCACCATATACAGTAGAAGGAGTGATATCATCGGGGCAAGCTTCTTGGTACTGCTTACGCTCATTCTTGTACAAGAGCATTACTGGTAATGCTCTGTCGAAGTAACAACACAACCCCTTGAAAATTTCTCCAACTGAATCAGCTATCCTATATCAAACGGAATACGTTAAACAGTAAAACCTAGGCATATTAAGAAAAAAAACTATTGTGTATTGACACTAAGCTGAAAAGAAATGCACAGATTAATCATAATGAAATTTGCTAGTAAAATATGGTTATCGCATCAACCCTGAAAACAAATTGTTATAAATAAAATCAATACCCTTTTTGAAACACTTAACAGCTAGATAAACTCAGCAATTGCATCCTATGAGCATAGGAGTATACTACATGTACCAAGGTATGCGAGACAATACAGTTAGTGACAATTAACTCATTGTATATATGGAATGATTTCAGAATACCTATTTCACACAAATTGAATGTAGACTAATAGAAGAATAAAGGAATTTGTAAAACTGGATGATTTCAATAATTGACGAAATGCACGTGCCCAACAACGAAGAGGTGGATATGAGGAATTCCAAAATACATGCTATTATATGCTCAAGATTGTTTTTTAAAATCCATTGTCAAGGAGTCAACCCTGCCTGTCAGAAAATTCTTGCCAATCTCAAAGACATATCTTATTTTAGAGATGGGGCAACATTGGAACCCAGTTTGTTTGTTGTCAATGAGGACAACAAATTTATGCTGTCTATGATGCTGATGGCAGACCAACTGACACATTCAAATGTAGTATATAGAGAAATTTCAACTAGTGTAATAATTTTCACACGTCTCATGTGAATAACAGGCATTTTGTATTTGAACATGTTTCAAAGACTGTTGGTACATAAATATATGGAACATAGAAGAACTTTTCTTAGTAAACGTATGGCATATTTATTAGTAAGAAATTTCTAATATTTTAATATTATACACAATATGAACATCTACAACAATAAGATGTCTTATCTCACTAGGTGAAGCTAACTATGTAAATGACATGACATCATTATAGTCTATCAGAAACCAAATATGCAAGACTTGAACATCTATTTACTTGCATGTCCTCCTTATTACAACATCATCAGGTGCATGCAAAGGTAGGTTTATAATATTTACAATATATAAAGGTCAAATTGGAAATAAACTCATTCAATTTTGACGTTTTGGCAAATGACCCTCTAAAGATTTATGGCTTGCATATATTATGAGTGTAGTATTAATTATAAATTAATTTCAATTCAATTGATTTACTTTTTCTCATTTTCTCATTGGTAAATGATGGAGATTAAGCCAATATGGGGTGTGCCACACTAATTAGTATGAATACTCTGTGAAGTACTCAAGTGCTTAAATTCTCCCACTTCAATAACTAGCATTTTAGGGGAAAATTTCCCACCCTACATATGTGCCCATCAATTGGTATAAAAGCTGGTGGCTTTTTCCTTCTGAAAGAGGGCCGCTCCGCTTGCTCATGGAGAATTTTAATTAGGGGAGGGTTCTAACTAGTGAGGAATACAAGTGTCATCAAGTGGAGTCTTGCAAAGTGTAGTCATCAAGACATTGACTCTCCAAGAAAGAACAATTGATGGAAATCAAGATAGAGTGAGATGCTCAAGTCCCAGGTTGAATAATATAAGATGTTCTTTGGAACACTTCAGTTGGTTCTCCCACATCAATGGTTAGGTTTTGGAGGAGGGTCCCATCCCACTTTGGTGCCCAAAAGAAACTTTGGGAAAACTACACTCTAAAAGCTGGCTCAAGGGGCTGGAAAGCCCAAAGTACTTAAAAGCTCCACATCAAAATCCCATACTTCCAACATGAGGCTCAATTTTCATACTTTGTAAATGGGTCCTAACATTATATCTTTTTAGTGAATGGAAAGGGTTAATCACTACATATTGAAAGTTTAAAGCAGTTAACTGCCAAAAATAAAACTTGAGGGGGTACATTTGCCAAAGAATCAAACTAGAAAGAGGTTTCCTCCATTCTTAGCCAAAAATACACTATTCTTTTCCTTTGGTACACAAGAAAGATTTACACTTGCAACCTTGTACTTAAACCCTCCCACTCTTGACCACTTAACCAAGCCTATGGTGGCAAAAGTAAACAATTCCAATAATGGAAACTGCCACCCAGCAGTGGTTGAAAGAAGAAAAGTTATTTAATTCTGACATGGAATCCATATAAATTTAAGGTATAATTCCCTAGAAAGCAAAATGTTCAAATGTGATGCTTTTTTATTGGGGGGTGGGGGTTGCGAAGGGTTTCAGCAAGAACTTACGATCCATCTTTCTTGGACCTGTAATCAAGATACTTCTTCACAATGTCATTCACATTTGGAGTACGGGGAAGTTTGACAAGCTGCACAAAAGAATATAATAAACTCTTTTCAACTATAGAATAGTGTTTACAACAACTAGATCATCACAGTGAAACATCCAAATGACCACTAAAATAAGATACTACAATAAATCAATACGTGACCAAACCTAATGAAATAATGAACACCAAGCATCTATATCAGAATAACGCAATATAGCTATAGGATGGGGACATGGAAATAACCATGAACACACAAATTTCTCTTTACATAACTATTGGGCCAAAAATCATTGGCACAAAAAGAAACTGAGGAGCCATTAATTTGCATTCCCTAGCACATTGAATACCATGATATAAGATAGTAAGATACCATGCTATTTAAAATTCCCAAATTTAGTATGGTAGTTGGGAGTTATAGCAGAATCGATGTCATTGATGTTTTGTAGAAGTTCATATAGCAAAAAATTCAAGAGAGTTAGATATTCTTTGGGTCCCGTGTGGTTACTAGAAAGGAATGGAGTGGAATGGATTGAAAAAAATCAATCCAAAAATGAACTAAATCATCCTTCCTCCCATGGTAAACATGATAAAACTCATTAATATATACTATAACTATAGGAATCATCACACCCTTTAAAAATCTCATGAATCATTATTCCCAACCTCATAAACTAAATTACCCCTCTCCCTTATGAATGTGCTCACCTATCTCCTTTGATCATCTTATTTTCACCTTTATTTTTTCAATTCATTCTATTTCATTCATTTCTAGTAACCAAAAAGGACCTTCAAACACATAGCTAAATCTATGCCTTTAGCGATGGCATGCTAAATGAATCTTGAAAGTTCTCAAAGAATCAGATAATTAAAATCCAAGATGGCTCAAATGTACAACAAGGATTATATAAAATTCGTAAGAATTATTGAGGCATCTGAAGCAAAAGTTATAGAAGAAAATTACATGTTGTAGAACTTGCCATAGCAGCTATTTCAAAGAGAGTAATACATTGCTAACATTCCAAATAAAAGCCATAAATGGGCACAATATGGCTAGCTACCTTGCCCAGATGGGTAATAAATTCACAATCATCAACTAATTGCTTCTTGAGTGGTGGAGGAATCTGAAGGCTCACAAACTTGTCAGAATGTACAGTAGCTTTTTCCTAAGATTTAGCCAAAACAAAATTAACTTTAATAACATCCTATAGCCAAATGAAAGAAGAGCAAAAACTGTCTCCTTACCAAGAAAAGGAGGGGAGTTTTAAATATAATGAATAATATTTTTTATAGAATCAATAAATATTGTTCAACTAATTTAACTGAGTTAAAATCACCTTATAATTCAAAGGCACTTAAAAAAATACCTGGGTACACGGTGAGCGATTTATATAAAATTTAAAACCAGAGAGTACCTTAACAAGAGCTTCACTCTTTCGCTTCTTTCCTCTTGCTGCTGCATTACATTTAAACAAAATATCTTAAACAGAGTGTGAGCACACGGAGAAACTAGAGCAAACTTGATTTAAGATACTTATGAACTGTAAAAATAAAGTATTTTACTCTTTCTATTCACAAAAATATGAGACAAGCTTAACTTATTACCATATATCTAGATCACATAAATTCTTGACCAACTGGCTTTCATGGTAACTCTTAACTATGTTAACAGGTTGAGGATACCATAATCATGGAACATGAATTGCCTAATTAAGTTTTATAAGGGAGAAAATTATAGCAGCAATGAATTGTCAAATTTCTCTTTGTTATGACTAAATGGTTCGATTATGTTAAAAAGAGAAGATGAATGACAAATTCTCTCACTATTTAACTGCCAAATATTATCAATTTGTCCCTAGAAGAGTGAAGAATGAACCAAGCATCCCTCATTTTCTTTTTGTCTTGAGAAGGGAGGGGGGACAACTTTCAACTGTGAATGCTCCTTCCCTCCCCCAAAATAACAATAATAATAATAATAATAATAATAATAATAATCAGCAAGTCTCTAGTGATTGGGTATTGAAATAATTAAAGCATAGAGAAGTATCTGACCATTCGAACTTTTGGACTTAAGTTGAGATGCACGGGCTGCCTTTGTATTCTTGTCATTGTCATCGTTCTCATGTGCAAGTTTTTTCTGTAAATTTTCCTCAGTGTATTTCATCAAACGATCCAGACCGACCCATTCATCCCAACTGTAGCAGAAACAAGCACTAAGAAACCAAATGATTCCGGAGTTCTTAAATTTTAAAGTCAAAAACCTTCTTCTATTGTGGCTGACTAAAAGGATAACATGCATACCTTTTCTTCCAACCCTGAAAGAAAAAGTAAGAAAAGAAAGGAAGATGAATAACGTTGATTTAAAAGAATAAGAAAGACGCTAGAAGGGAATCAGAAATCCACGAGGAAGGTAAAAGAAAGAGAAATATTGAAAGGAAACAGACTACTTACAGGATAATGAACATAGAAGCTCCATGCATTCTGCCTGTACTCAATTCGCAACACCTTTGAAACAAGACAAATAACAGTTATGAGTAGTTCAGTTTGTAGAATTACCCTCTGTCCTTACACAAGTAGTCACCAGCTGACACAATGACAGTAGGAACAATTCACGTTACTTCAACATATATCACAAGAGAACGTAACAAATCGAAGTCATGGATTATTAAGGTCATTCAGATATAGATATGCAGGTCGATAACATAAAAAAAGGAGGGAAAAGGAAAAATAAGAGAATAAAGAAAAGGAGGGAGCGTATAATACCTTAGCTTCATAGATTCGACCCTTATGGTAGGCGAGGACTTTCTCTCTTTCGGCGAAGGGTGGGGAATCAGAGTGGTGGGCGACATCATTATGAGAGTGGGTACTGCTGCTGGTGCCTGACTCAGTCGCAGAATTATCGGCAGTCCCAGCAGAAGCCTTGGAGCTTCCCATTCAATCTGCGCACCGATTACCAGTTATTCTATTTGGGGATTCAGGACTCTCAAGTTTTGCGATACTTCTTATGATTTCTTGCTACATGGAAACTGTCACTGCCATGGATGAAGAAATCAAAGCATCGAAAGCCGCAGAGACCGATCCTTGAGTCTTCCTTCTCAAGTTGGCAGCAAACTTCCGCTTTCTCCCTTTGCCACCCGAAACAATTTCCTTCCCAAAGCGATGTGCCACGAAAAGGATTAAACCAGTAAATTCCAAGTAATGAAATAAATTAAAATTTAGTAATTGATGAAATGAAATGAAGCGTACCCTCGGACCAAAAAGGGAAAAAAAAAATTAAGAATAAAGGAAAGAACCCACTACATTCAACGTGAAATTAAGGTGAGCACATTAGAGTGTTTATTATTATTATTATTACCAATACTACTATTCCTATTAAGGGTAAAGATATAAATTTAATGATAAACTAATGTTGGAGGAGCATATAATTAAGTTATCAATTAATTAAATTATAGCATCTAGCACCCATCCTTAATTTATATTAGCAAACATTTATTTAATATTGTAGTCCCCGCGTGAATTTAACAAGTGACATTGTTCTTCCATCAAAACGCCTGTGCGACATTTATGCCTCCTCTCTTAGTCTCTCTCCTCACCATCTGTATCTTCTTCTTCCTTTTTCTTCCCCACCCTCCATTTTTGCACAAGATCTCTCTCCCTTGGCTCGACAAGACGAGGAAAAGAAGAAACTTCCAACCCTCCTTCCTCAGTCAAAGTTGCATCAGTGAGAGACTGGAGCTCATTCATTCCTTCTCCCTAGAATCACCTCTTTTCAAACTCAAAAGTAGAGGGGAGATCAATCATCTCATTCAAGCATCGACTCCATCAAGTACGACAAAGGTGAGCACACCGGGTTTTGTTCCCTACATCGACTCCTTGTACTTTTCTAACTTTGAGAGCTATGGGAATGCGTCAACGATCGTCGGAGCTTTTTGCTAAGTAGGCGACCAAGGCGTGGCAATTGAGAGTGCTCTGTTTTTGGAACGATCTTGGCAGCTAACTGACGGAGAAAAGTGCCTTGTTTCTTTAAGCTCCTAACGACTAGGATTCAGAACCACCTCATGGGATTGCAGGGTAACCACATTTCTTCTGCACTAAAAATATATTTTATCAATTTTTTATATATTTTTTAAATATTTATTTTTAAATTAAAATATTTCTAATACATAATACCTAGACATTTAGGCAAATTTTTAATTCTAATGTAATCTGTGTGCACTTTAAGATAATAAAACTTTAATAATAATCCTAATTAACATATAAAAATATGTAATAAATGTGTTCTGTTACAGGGTGCTTGAGATAAAGACTTGTCCTCTCGGTTAATTTCATGATTTCTCTTTGGTAGAACCGAACCTACGACAAGCTCAAGCTTCAGCTTCCTAAGCAATTTTGTCAACTCCCCTAATTGGCACTACCGGATATGGTGAGGGAGTTCTTAGAAGCTCACAAGTAGCTAGGCAAGAGTTTGGGGTAGCCCCTCTTCGACGGAGCCAAAAGCTGGGTTGTACCACAAGTCTAATTGTTTGGTCCCAGCAAGACAAAATGGAGTGCCAATTTGCCAACATAAAATCGGTAACTTACGGTGCCAACCAGTTGTGATCAAGAGGAGAGACAGTGACTTCGTGAGAGGCCGTGGAGGAGTGGGTGAAGGAGAAGAATTACTACAACCACACCAACAACTCATGCATGCCCAATCACAGGTGTGAGGTTTATACTCAAGTGGTGTGGAGGCACAAATGGCCATTAGTATCATTTGGAGGGAAGGTGTTGGGCAATATCATTTTATTAATTGATGGTTTATTTTACACCATCTTATAATATAGAATACTAGATACTTCTTAAAAAATAATTCTTAAATAAATTTACACTTTTATTCTATTACTAATTGGTATTATTAGAAGAAAGGCAATGTGCGAGGCAAGGTTAAGTTTTGATATTATCAGATATTGTTGTTAGCAATGGCAAAGGAGAGTGTTCTATGCATCCGGGTCTTATATTTTAGCCATTTTTTCCCAAAATTAGGCATATTTTAAAACACAAGACATTTTTATTGTTTTATGCAATATTCAATAAGTTATTAAAAATATTTTTATATAATATAAAAGTATTTAATAATAGAGTTCGTGGGGGAAAAATTAAAAATTTCAAATTTAAAACAATTTTATTACTTCAATTAACTTATGTTGATTCCAAGAAATTAGCCAAGAGCAACTAATATAAAGAAGGAAGGGGGTTTAAAGTTTAAGCATATTCTTTCATACTTCCCTCATCCAAATTATAAGACAATTTAAAACAAGATTATAGATATAAATAAAGTTTGATAATGATATTTCACAATATTTTTTCAAAACAATAATAAAAACTTTTAAAAATGCCATTCATTTAATATAAATTTAAATTTATACACTTAATTATTATATTATAATTATTTCAATTCTTTCTCCTCTTCATAGGGTAATATTAAAAAGTATTATTAATAAAATTTTATTTTTATTAAATTATCTTATATTTTAAGACAACAAGATATCTTTAAAGTTATTTTATAATTTAGGGCTGAAGTAGTTAATTGTAGGAAGTGAGTCACATATTTATGATTTACAAATGGTGCCTTCTAATAAAATGTCTTTATTACAAGATACCTTCAACTAGCTCACCAAAACAAAAAAAAAAATAGCTAAGTTATTAATTTTATCTAAAAATAGAATAATTTTTTAATTTTACTCTTATTTAAATAAAAAAACTTTAAATTTGTATTACATTCTTTCTTGCAGTTATTAAATTTAAATATGAGTAATATTGAAAAACAAATGTAATTAATACCTTATGGTGTGCCTTACACTAAAAACAAAAAAATATTTATGGGAACCGGCCGAAGGGAGTAGTATAATTAACACTTACGTATAATTAATACTCTTCTCTTCATTGTTCAAATCGCTGTTTTCTTGCAGTCATGATTATTATGCAAGCGTGCAATTTCCTCTCACAGTAGAATTTGACCATAAGAATTTACTCAGCATCAACCGACATGGATTGTCAGGAAACAAGATTTGCAATTAAAATACATAAGATTTAACTGTTATTAGTTTTTAATATCTTGTGCAATTAATTTTAGTTGTTCATTACAAAATGTATATTTTTTCCAATTAAAGTTGACATAAGTGGTAGAAGTTACTTAGACAAATGATTGAGGTTTGAAACCTTAGCTTTTGTGTGTGTATTTGGAGAGGTTTATACATTACTCTCAATATTGAGGAAGAGATATTCTATATTGTCAGTAAAACTTACTTCTTATACATAAAGAGTTAACAAATGGAAATTAATTCTAGCAAAAGGAGTTAGCTGGTCTCTCACATAATGGTGAACTAAGATTCTAATCTACATTAAGAGAGCTACTCACATTTAATAATTTATCATGTATTGAATAATATTGCTTATAATAAAAGGATATTAGGGAGCAATAAAAAAAATGTACATCTTTTAAAATGATTTCCTTCCTTCCTTTGTAATTCCCCTCCCCGGCCCCAACTTTTTTTTTTCCCCATTATATTCCCCCCCTCCCTATTCGATCCCTTCCTTCCTGCAGCCCCTCCTTAATCCGCTTCGAAATATAATTCTCCTCCATTCTTAATGTATGATGACAATCTAGGTACATCCTTAAAATATGAAAAATATATCTCATTTGCTGATTTATAACCCATTAATAATACTTGGACAATAGTGTGTTTATACACCACTCCATTTTGATTGAATAATAGTGTGTTTGTAATATTCATGCGAGAACGACTCGCGGTTGTCAAAGCTAAGGGATCGAAAAGCGACTAAAATCTGGAAGAAACTCTCCCATGCCATGGAATATGGTAAAATTTGTAAGTTTGTCGGAAACAAACTAGTTCATAATATAATTCGAGACCTGCTTTCTCTACTGTGTGTAAGCGAGAATGAAGACAGAACATTGTTCGTCGCGCTTTCAAGCTCCCGTTTTCATAAAGCGGTACACCTCCCCCCCCCCCCCCGTTTTTTTTTTTTCTTTGAATGAACAATTGCAGTCAATTACTCAAAAATAGAGTCAAGTACAAAGTAATGCAAGAAAGAAGCCCAAAAAAAGAAAAAAAATCAGAGAGCAGCCAGTCTGTCATCATTCACCACCACTTAGAATAAAGGGTGGAGCTTGATCGAAGATTTCAAAAGAAAGAGTGCGTTACAACTCTGGCATAACATAAATATCACCGTCTTAGAATTCTACGAATGCAGCCAAAAAAGGCTCTGCAACTAATGAACCATAAAAGAATAAGCAACCAAGAAAATGTGAAGGTGGCGAGGAAGAATGTGCCGGCATTGATTGAACTGAATCCGCAGAGGGGGACGTACGAATGATACATGCAGTATTTATGAAGTAGGAAGAGGCATTGGTGTGATGGCTTAATGTCCTACGCCGGGGCTCGGACCCGACATTGTGGTGACTCTGAGATTCCGAGAATTGGCAGAGGAGTGGCCCACCCCTCTTGATCTCTGTCCTCCTGTCTTCATCCCTCTCACATATAATCCCTCCAACATACCTTGGATCTCTTTGCTAGACCCTCTGAATTTCTGAGCGTCTTCAACTGGATAAGGCCGACCTTCTGTAATAACGATGAAGGAGCCTGCCAGAAGAAGCCAGACACACACGAGCTTGAGGAGCTTTAGATTTTCGGCCATTGGAGCCATTGACAAGCTAATGAGAGCTATACACCGCGACGATGTGGGAATTGAGTCTGCGATGTCTGAGTCCAGTTCAGAGTTGAAGATGAGGCTGAACAAGCGTTTCTGGTATATATAATGTTGATCGTGGGAAGAAGACAGGAAGGTTGTGTTGCAAGTTCAAAAAATGCAAGTAGAGAGTTGAAAGCGAAAGCGAGTATGTAGGAGGTGATCAAGTCAAGAAAGCAAAGTAACGAGGAATGAATAGGAAAGCAAAGGAAATAACAAGTTGTTTGGTGTTCCCAATATTTGGAATTCCGACCACGTGCGCAACCGAGTGCGGAAGGCCATAGGCGGTGGGAGTTTAGTGAGGCAAAGATGTGTGAATCTCGGAGGCTTGCGTGTGCGTTCAATTCTGCAGCCCAACCGACAAAGTTCCTGGCCTGAGTGAAGAGGCTCTTAATAGTTGTCTCATACCGTCCGATACTCTTTGACCACGCCACAATGGGAGAAGCTTTTTCCGTGCACTAGATTCCCTCCTCACGCCAAATCAACGTCTCTTCCACATGTCCGCTCCTTTGAAAATTACTTGTGTACTCGAGATTTTTCTATCTAACTAAAGCTGCTTGCTCACTTGTAAGTCATAATTTTTTTAATATTAACAATCATAAAATATCATGTCCCTAAATTAATTTTTTTATAAATTAGTGAAGATTAATTAAGTTTGAATTTTTCAACGGACAAGTGAGAAAGTTCCTCAAAAAATAAGTGAAACAATAAAAATAAAAAAATTAAGCCATCAAACTTTGAATGAGAGTTATACCATATAAATTTTAAATATTTTACTTCTTTCTTTATAGGTGAATTCTCACCTTATATGATCATACCATGCACACTTACACACACACATTCAACACGTAGCAAAAGTATTCTTAATTATCAATGATTAACTTGCAAATCATTAGTATCATTTTCATCACATCATGTTCAATGTAACACACCAAAATTTTTTTTTTAAATAATTTAACTCAACCATAGTTGGGTTACAACCACCCAACACATTTTTATATCAATAATTTCAATATAAAATATTTTATAATTAACATTTCAGATAAATTTTTACCTCCCACATGCCATTAGGCTAAATCACATTTGTCCATCCTTATACTCCCAACAAGTAAACTAAATCACATTTGTCCATCCTTATACTCCCAACAAGTAAAATAAGCAATTTAATAAATTTTCAACACAAGCCAGTTATTTGGCCTTATAATCATGCCATTTTAACCAATCCAAAGTAAACCAAATATTAAAATTACAGTCATCCAAATTGTACTAAAAATAGAAATAGTTTGAAAGGCATGATTACATTTATATATTCATATAATTGACAATAAAGAAAAAGCCCTAATATTGGCAATATAACACATTATAAATCATAAATTAAATACCCAAAAGAGACAGTGGATCTATACCACTAAGCCTCTGGGACTCCTCCACGTGTCACTCGTAGCTCTTCTCCTGAAAATTGTTAACCACATAATGAGACTCAAAAGTCTCAGTAACCAAAGCCAATTTATGATAGTGTATACAAACAGTTAAGTGTGTGCTTACTAAGTGAGAATTAAAAATAATATAATTCCAACAAATATAAGAAATATTATAATAAACACAAACAACCATCCTTATATCCCTCCATTAACCTCGAGCCGTAGCCCTCACTCGGTGCTAAATTACCCGGCCAAAGGTGGATTAGCTCGAGCCCTTACAAGCCACCTATTGAGCTCCAATAGGGGCGTACCACGTGGCACATAAATACAACAATAATAGCAAGTCTCCCAACACCTCCCACAATAATTAAACAAATTCATAATAATATTGCACAATTATACAATATTACAAATTCATAATTTTCTCAATAATCACCCAATTAACATGAAGTAACACTAATCACAAATTAAAAGCATGGTTACCTTGTGGCTTTTTCAATAAATTATTCCTTAAAATTTCTCTCTCACCACAATCTTCACCAGTAATACAATCTACAAATAACATATTATTTATAAATATTAGTTTCAATTTTTGAAACTAATAAAATAATTCTAATAATAGAATTAAAAATATAATATAATTCCTAATTTCAATCTTAATACAAATCTATAGTTAATACTATTAAGTAAAATTTTTAAATCCTCTTTTAATTATCAATAAACATTGATAATCTAAAAATTAAATTTTAAACTAATTTCTATTATCAAAATTTTCTTTTTATTTTATAAATTCGTACCTAAAATACCCAAAAATTAAAAATTAAGTCTTTAGCTTAGAATCATAATCCTATAACCATAATAATTCATTTCTCATCCCAAATAATCATCTAAACCTCAATAAATTAACATATATTTTTAGATCTAGTTTAGAATTTGATCCATAAGCCACAGATTCAAAGATCATCAACAAATTTATACTTTAGAACATTTATTATACTACTGACAACCTCAAAAACTATATTTATTCAACATAAATTCATCCCTTTTCCAGATCTTAAATTTTCTACCACTACAAACTCAGAAACTAAAGAAGAAGGATGACTAAGAAAAATTTTTAGAACACTTACTTAGTCTTAAAAAGCTTAAAATCACACCCTAAATATCCTATTAAAAACTCTTACCTTAAAAATGTAGATATTTCGCACCGGCAACTCGCTTCTCTCCGCCTCAGCTCGCGCGCAGGAAAAGAATTGAAGAAATGAAAGGAAACGGGTGAGTTTTATAAAAATTCAGTGGGTCTCACACATTTTTTTTATTCTTTTCTCTCTCTTCTTTCTTTCTTTCTTTTTTTTATTATTTTATTTTACTGTTCATGCGCGGCGGCCGAAAGTTTCCTTGTTTTTCTCCTTTCTTGTTTTTACACCTTTTCTTTTGTTTTTTTTTATAATAATAATAATAATTTAATAATATTTTTTTATTATTATTTTTTTTCTTTTATTTATTATTATTTTTTTAGAATTATATCCTAAGTTAGATTTAATAATCATTTTCTACTAATTTATTTACCTCTAAATATTTTTAAAATTTCTATTAACCCAAATTAACTATTAAAATTTAAATTGAGATGTTACATTCAACACCCTTTCACCACTAAAGCCATGCTCACTCGATGATTTAGATCACAATTGCATTTCATATTATTCATTTTAACATTTACATGCTTCATGATTCTATTACATCCTATTAAAGTAGTGAGTTTAATGTGTTGATTATGAATGTCTCACATATCATGATAATCGAATAGCTATTACTTGTCATTAGAGATTTTGTCATATGATTTTCAAATTAGATCTTAACTTTTGGAAAGGACATCATATGTAAAGAGTATCGTGAGGGTTGTTTTGAATTTTTTTTAAAAAATGTTTTTTAATAATTTCTAAATTATTAATGAAATTCAATAATTATAATTAAAATACTCATTGAATTAATAGATGCAAAATACTTACCGAATTCATATCCACAAATTACAACACCGTTCTCAATTTCAGCGCCTTCCTTTAATCACTTCCATGGTTTTTTACTGTTCATTGTGTAAATATATACGACATGGAGCACGTAAAAAAAAAATGAATGACAGGATTTTACCAGAAATATTAAATAAGTAGAATTAAATATTGATTTTGAAACTAAAAATGTTGGTATACCATAATTTATTTTGTAGTCATTTAAAGAAGTTCATTTATAATTCTTTAATTTTTTATTAAATACGTATGAATTATTTTTACATCTCACCAGTTAATTTATTGATCCAAATTAATCCATAGGCTAGCAAGGCACTCAATCATCTTTCCCACATTCTTAAAGAAGCCACTTCATAAATTCAGTTTAAAAAAAAAAAACCCTTGATGCATTAGCAAAAGTTTAAAAATGTCTGTAAGTCCGGTTGGCCTCTTGTTTTCAAAAGAAAAAAACATGTCTGCAAGTCTTCACTTTTCAGCATCTCTCCTTTCATAGTTTTGCGGTTTGTGTTCGGAGTGTTTCTATCCTTTTCTTTTCAGCGAACGAGGGTGTAATCCTTGACCGTCTCAGGAATTATCCTCTCTATTTAACATCAAAAACTAAGTTTTAATAAAAGGATTGTTCAGTGACCACTGCAAGATTCTAATGGGTTTTCCTCTGCACATTGACAGTAAAATTCTCCAAAGAGGACGCCTCTCTTACTACTGAGCCCTAGCATACTGGATTTGCAACGCTAACAAGTGAGTGTGAATTGAAGACGGCCATGCATTTTTAATCAAAATTAAATAAAAATTACTAAGGTCAGCACATCACCAGTATCATATAAAAATAAAAAGGGCCAGTTATCAGAATACACGAATTAATTAATCATGGCTCTCTGCTCTTCTTCACATCCTCCTATGTTTGAGCCTAGTGGCTGATAATTTCCTCTCCCCTCGATGCGATCGTGTTTAGAGTGAGCTTCACCCGATGACGGCGAGGACCGCGGTGTCCCAGTGATGGATTCATTCCCGCCGTTCCTTTTATTAGGAGCCTTCCCTCAACGGTCACAGCCTCACCAGAGAACATGTATGGAAATTTCTTAGCTTTTGTTCACTTATTTACAAAAACATCGTTTACGATTGATTTGGGATGTAATTGCAAGGTATAAATTAATTCAGAGATCTTCATCTCAGGGAACGGGGAGACCAAGAGCTGTAATTTCATGAGGCAGCGATGCACTTTATGTCATTCTTCAGAGGTTTCCACATTTCAGCACTCGGAACAACATCCAATATCTGTGTTATGCTCTCTAATAGGAATTACTGTTGGCTAATAAAATTCGCTGCATTGAAGTATTTCCGCGTATGGGAAAGTTAACGTGTGAAGGAGTAGTCTTAATTAAGCAAATGTTAAACAACCTAAATTTAACTTGAATGAAAATAGTATAGTTCTGCTCATAAATTCCACTGGCAAGTCCTTATTAATGAGTTTATCCTTGCAAATCATGTTGGCACCAGCTTTCACTATCACGTCCCCTTCGTTGTTTTCAAAAGACGGAAATTGATGGAAAACCACATGACAGGAGAAGAATGGTAGAAAATGGGGAAAAAATGAAAACAGAGAAACAAACACGGTATTCGTCCAAAACGGACAATTCCTGCCGGCAAGACCCATGACTAGAGTGTTTCAGTGTATCAAACGAGCAATAAGGAGTAATAATTTGCCTAATGCCACAATTATCGAATACCGATCTCGTTTGAGCTTTCTGCCTTCGGTCCCAGAGCATAAGCCCCTTGGCTTCGGGAACCAAAAAGAAACACATTCTAGGCAAATTTCCTTTCAGATAGCATATAAATCGAGCAATTAAATCCGCGCAAATCAGAATTCAATCTTTCGATTTATCAATATTATAATTATAATACATCTCATTCAACAATTCCTTCCAAATTTATCCAACAAACGGATATTGGTAGTTAATAAAATTACAGATCTAGTATCTGAAATCCAAAATCTGCACAAGAATAACTCCAAAACCGAACCCTCACAGGCAGAAGATGATAAAATAGGTGGAATCAGAAGTAGGTATGAAAAGTTCATCTGCTTCTGTTATTGAAATTCATTTTCTCGTAATAGCGAATAGAGAGGAGCGACAGGGAGAGATGAACCTCGTCTTTCCCTAACCTCGGGGATGGTTTGGAGCGAATCATCGGCGGGAACGTAGGCCAAGACGCTGACGAGGAGGAGGAGGAGGAGGAGGGGCCCGACGCGGATGCGGAAGAGGACTGGGGCTTGGAGAGAGGCCAGAGGTAGAGCGCGTGGAGACGACGGAAGCCACCGAGGGCAAGGACCACGGATCGCAGCTGCTGCTCACCACAGCCGGTGTTAGCCCACTGCTTGGTGCAGATCAGCTCCCAAAGCCGCTCATCCAGCGCCGTCTTGTGCCACTGCTTGCTCACACAAGCCGCCATCGCCAGCGTCCTCGCGTCCACGTGCTTCAACACCTCGAACAGCAGATTATCGTCGAAATACACAGAAGCACTAGGGTTCCCAGCAGCCCAATGGTCAGCCCGCTCATCGACATCCACCATCTTCAGCTTTTTCATCTTGTCATCATCGCGGGCATGCGGACGCTTCATCTCTAAGCCTGGACGAGTTTATGAGGAAAAAAATACGTCGCTCCAACAATCGTGCGACAGAAATTAAAAGAATCTAGAGGCTGCTTACGAGGTGAAAGGGTAAATGGAGGAGATGACATATAAGGTAATTTAGGGAAGTAATTTAGTGGTGGAGGGTTAAATAAATAAAGTTGCAGGTACAGAGGATGGAAGGAGGAAAGGGGAAGGAAGGTGATAATGGGATCAGGGGTTGGAGAGAAAAGATAATGGGGTGGCACGAGAAGTAAAGGTCAAGATTAGGAGGTGCACCTGCTCCCGCTGGTTTTTCGAAGACGACATAATGAGAAACGAATGCGCTTCGATTCTTTTCTGTGATTGACGATTTTGTCCTGGCCCTTTCCTTTCTTGTCTTCTCCTTTCCTTCATTAATCATGTCATTATCATAAAAATCAACCCCCGCTTTTCCCTTTGCTTTATCTTCCAACATCCTGTGCTGCGTTTTTTTTTTTTTTTTAAATTTCTTCTCCTTTCTCGCCAATTCTTATTTAAGCACTTGGCGCCCGAACAAGAAAGAAACTCCTGGCGCATCAGTTCACTTGGCATTTTAAGATTTAAGAAACGCCCATGTAACGCGCTATTTTATTCAGTAGAACCATCACTGCTACATTCTTGAACTTTCATTTTCAAGGAATTTTTTAATCCTTCTCGGTTTCAAAAAATCCACAAGAACTTGACGAAAAACATTAAGGCTAAAATAAAGAATTAGGGAGATAATCCTGGTTTTCATTTTCATGAGCTTTATAAAGATGGGGGGGAAAGCGACGCGTTTGGCATGTAATGAATGAAGCGGATCTTTTAATTTAGAATAGAGATTCCGTGGGGGTTGTCCACTCCACAATGGACACGCTGCTCATGGGACAAGCCTTCCACTACTTCGTTCATCTCCACGCGGCTGTGGATGTCTTTCCATTCTGCTGATTCTTCCGTCTCTGTGTTCTACATATTATTATATACCCTCACAACCACCTCTTGATGCTTTCAAACCAACATTGCAGCGTCACCGCCACTTGCTACAAACCTGCGACATTGCAAGTTTGCAACTATCTTACTACCATATTCCTGTAACGCAGGAAATATTATTTACTTTCTTCGCTAAATTTCGAGAATTATGTATTCTTGCAATCCTTTTTTTTTTTGGCCAGAAAAAGAAACTAATGCTTAATATTATAAGGATTCATGATATGCATATTTTTATAAGAAATCATCTATAGTTTTCGTCTTTTAGAGCTTAAAAATAATAATTGTTAGTGGTCAAAAAAGAATTTTTAGATGGTCCTGTTTGTTGGTACGTTCATAGTTCAATACTTATATACAAACGCATTCACATGTTGGCCCATTAGCTCAGTTGGTTAGAGCGTCGTGCTAATAACGCGAAGGTCGCAGGTTCGAAACCTGCATGGGCCACTGTAGGATTTAATTTAATTTTAACTCAGCTGAACTGCAAGTGTGGCTTTGTTTTTATTTTATTATTATTATTTGTGGCAAGGCTTCAATAAGGCGGATGTTTTTTTTTTTTGTTTTTGATAAAATTCAATAAGGCGGATTTGTTTTCAACAAAACTGTTTGACCACAGCTCTGGGCTCGACTTTTAAAGGCCCATTTGCTCTTTTAATGATTTTGTTAGTTGTTGGTTTTTATTTTTATTTTTTTGCCAGTTGATAACTAAACTAAAATTATGTTGATCCAAAAAATTTTGTTGGAAATAAAACTAAAAAACTAAAAAAAATTTAAAAAAATATATAGCAATCATATTCCAAATATTTTTTACATCAAAAAATATTTTTTCCAATGAAAAAGTCATTCATGGTAAAATTTAAAACTTCTATTCAGATACTAATTTTTTAAACAATTTGTTCAAATCTATATTACCTTCTTCAAAATTTAACATTTAAGAGTGCATTTGGGTAATCAATTTGAAATCTACTTTTCAACATTTGAAATGTTAAATATTGTTTAGATAATTTTTAAATGAACAAAATGAGTTTATAAATGTGGGTAGAAATGATGTTAGAATATGGATTTGCCAACTTTATTTTTTTGTGGATTTAAAATTACAAATGAAAGTTGAGTTGTACTTACTTTTATAAATGATCATGATATTTTTATTATGTTTTAATTTTTTTCTAATATTAAACTATATATTTTTTATTCTTATTATTTAACATATTAAATTTTATGTTATTTTATTTTTTTCACATTTTTAAACACTTATAATATATAATATTTGTATAACAAAAAATATCAATTATCATATATTAATATTCTTTTTAGTTATTACATATTTTAAAATACATTTCACAAGCACAAATCATCATTAATTCAAATAAATTTCAATATATTAAATTAACTTTTAAAAAAATTTATTCAAATACAAATTTTATTACAATAACTGAGTTTTACTGAATTAACTTTTATCAAATGAATTTTTAATATATTGAAAATGAAACACACACTAAAAGGAAGAAGATGATATGTCTATATTTCTTTCCGTTATATATGCATATTTACAAAATAAAGACAACATAATTTGGATCTGAAACAGTAAAATGAATTAACAAAATGGAATGAGTGTTTCACAAATTAATGGACGTCATATTCAAGACAGCGCATGATCTAATCAATTATTCAGACTCAATAGAATAATTCTCGATAATTCATAGAATAATTCACTTTGAATATTTATATACTCCCTCCGGTTCCATTTATAAGTCTAATTGTAGAAGGTATATTTGGTCTCATTTATAAGTCACGGTGCGTCTTTTTAGGTAATATTTAAGAGGTATTTCCAAAATTACCCTTTATGAGAGAGAAAAAGTAACAGAACATTACTTTTTAGATTTGTTATATAGGGGCATGTTTGGAATTTTACTTACTTTTATTCCTTGTACTTTTATTGTATTGGTATTGATGAGGTTGGTAGAAATGACTTATAAATAGGACCGGAGGGAGTATGTCAGAAGTCTCATATCTTGGCTATCGATCTTTTTCTCGTCTGCTGTTTTTTTTTTTTTGGAATCATCATCAAGTTTGTTGCGTTATATATAAATAAATACGACTGCAAGCATGCGTTCGCTGTTATATTTCTGGGGGAACTAATCATTTGCTCACTGACAATGGAGAAATCAAATAGAGAGCCAGCATGTCCGGAATGTTGCGCAAAATATGGAAAACATACACATGCCATTACTTATATCATGATCAGATAAGAGAAAATAATATATTTATGCATTAGTCAGCGACATTCTTGGAAGCTATTATGTATGTCCTGTTTGGTATTTGGTATGAAGTATTAAACTTTATGAAATTGGTAATGGGATTGGGTCCGGAAGAAGTAGTGGGAATAAGTTTTAAAATTATGTGCAGTATGTGGGATTAACAAAAGAAAAAAAAAGCCTCAGATAAAAAAAAAATCAGCAAAAAAGATCCAAATGTCCTTATCTTCTTCCCATCATTGTTATGCTCAACTAAGAAAAGAGAATCGGCTCAAATAAAAAATTAAAACCCATGAGAAGAAAATCAAAGCCATCGATTCAAAATCACAAGCCAAAATAATTTGGATGGATTATATTAAACATGCAGATAGCGTGTTTCTTGCAGTGGGACTGTGGTGAGGCTCAGGCGACGCAAGTGATCTCTCGCACTCTTGTTTGTCTTTGTTAAATCAAAGCCATGGACCAGAAAAGAGAATCAGCTCAGATAAAAAAAAAAAAAAATCTAAACCCATGAGAAGAAAATCAAACAATGTAATCGACGACTTGGAATGACGAAGCAAACTTAGCAAGTCAGGGACCTAGGTTCGACGGCTGTGGTAACGACAACCTTCAGTAGACATAGCGACGCATCTCAAACTCAAATCAAATCTAAGGAGAAGGGTGGCAACTTGAACCAGTGGTAGGAAGACAGAGGGAAAGGGGAAGGATGTTGCTTTGGGGACGATGGCACCGGTGAAGGGAGGCAGCCATGGTGGAATAAGCCTGGCTGAGAGAGTAGTGACGAAGTAAAGGGTCAGGGGAGAGAGACGAGGGGGTTGATGGCGGGGGCAGTTTGGTCATAAAATAATCAATCCCAAAAATCATAGGAGGTGGTATTGGGTAATCCCATATACATAGGATTGTGATTAGAATTAAATTTTTTATTATCTCATATCAAACATAAAAAGATAAAACTAGTCAATTCCAATCCTAGTGTCTCCTAATCAGTACTACATACCAAATAAGGCTTTAATACATACGGGCCTTGCTTAGTCCAAAGCTCAAGCTGCTTGTCAAATGAATAGTCATGCTTGATTTCTATTAAAAGTCTCTTGTAAGAAGTTACTCTTCTATCTCTCTATATAAAATATTTTTAATCAGATCTTATATATTAATAAAAGTTTGTTATTTAATTAACATTACATTAAATCACAATAATTTTTTAATTTTGCCTCCAATAATGTCAATTAATATAATAATAATTAATGTCTCTTCCCTTTTTCAAAATAAAGACAAAATGTTTAATTATTCAAAAACATCAAAACACTCTTTATATTTGGGGACAAAATAAGCTTCTAAATGGAGGGAGTGGTCTGTTAAGCACCCGTATCAGCTCTTTAAATACAAGTCGTGTACTGAGTTCAAAATATTTACTGAATCATATTACATTTCTCTTGATATCCTCTGTCTAGTTTCTTCTTCTCTCACATGGCACCAAACTGAAATCGTATTTCTCTTCTCCATTTCTCTGATTCTACTCTATTATTTGATATTAATGAAATAACAGCAAATAGTTGCAAGAAGCCATTCATTTAACATTTTTTTTGTCACTCTCAACACAAATAGTTCGCAATGCAAACACCAAAACGAGAAAACTTAATTCCCTTCCGCATATAATGCTAACCCCAGGATTAATTAATAATCTTCTACATAGCAGAATAGTTGGAGAGTAGATTGGGTATTGGGCTATTGGCTGGCTAAACACGTTTTTTAAAATCATGGTTTTAATTTCGGCATAACACTTGCGCATGTTTGGGGACGACGCAGAATCAGCACTGGATGTGGCATTCTCTCAATATAGGACGTCAAGTGTGAGTAAATTTGGTCATGTTCTCCTCCTTTTAGAGATACGCTGCAGGACCAACATTCTAAGGGACGACACTCGAAATGACAGAATGGTAATGGATAAAGTAGCCAGCCTTAAAATTGAATGACCCATAGATGTGATGAAGAATGATAAATTGATAATCGTGAAATTTGGTGGTGGCTGTGCATTGTATACAGTAATAAAGCAAAAGGCA